TGCACAGCCTTTGGAGATCTTGTTCATTCAGATGTGTGGGGGCCTTCTCCAATTACTTCTAATCTTGGATTTTGATATTTTATGTGGCTTATTGATGATCATAGCCATGTTGCATGGGTCTATCTAATGAAGACCAAAACTGAGGTGTACACTATCTTTAAAAATTGTGAAAATGATTCAAACTCAGTATGGTCGTGGCATTAAAAAATTCAAATCTGTTCATAGTACACTTATGGAGAGGTAAAACAGTAATGTACAAAATTTGGAATTGAGCATCAGATGTCTAATGTTCAAATCCCTCAACAGAATGGTCGTTACGAGAGAAAGAATCACCAAATTCTTTGCTTAGCCAGAGCAATCTGCATTGGCATAAATGTTCCCGTCATTTTGGAAAGATACAGTTCTTATAGTTGTCAACATCATCAATAGGAACCCTTCTATGGTTCTTAACTTTGCAACCCTACATCCCAATCAATCTCTTTTCTATATTCCCTCGTGGGTCTTTGGGTGTGTGTGTTTTGTTCAGCACTTAGGGCAGACTCATACAAAGCTTGACACCAAGACATTATGTGTTTTGGGGCTATTCTCGATATCAGAAAGGTTACAGGTGTTACCATCCTCCTAGGCGCCGACGGTTTATATCCATGGATGTCTCTTTTTTTTAGCATACACCATACTATAGTGGCTCATTTAGTTTTTAGAGTGGGTGGTTCCCATTGAACACAATTGATGATCACCTCGTTTCGCCTTCAACTCCTCTACCTTTTCTTGTTTCCTCTTCTACTTTTCCTCCTCATGATACCCCTCCAACAGGGGAAATTGTTCCTTTTCACAAGTCTACACTTGCAAACAACAAGCTTGAGCTTCTACTTCCCTTCAGGCACGAGCTCCACCTACTCAAGTTGTTGTTCCGCTTGATGATCGTCGTATTGCTCTTCGAAAGGGTAAACATTATTGTACTTGCCCTATTTCAAATTTTGTTTCTATTTGTGCTCTCTCACCCTCCTATCAGAGTTTTCTTGTTTATGTTGCCTCGGTTCCTTTTCCTTTTTGTGTTGCAAATGACTAGCACAACCTTAGTAGCGTGACACTATAACTAAATAACTGCATGCAGTTGAGAAAACTCAGACATAAGACATGGTTCTGCTTCCTATTGTTGGGTATTTGCAGTTAAGCATAATCCAGACAGGTCGGTTGCTCGCTATAAGGCCTGATTGGTTGCCTCAAACCCATACATATAGATTATCAGAAGACTTTTGACCCTGCTACCAAGATGAACACCATCCGCGTATTATTTTCCATTGCTATGAAGCCTTTGTTTCTGGTTTAGCGGGAGAATCAGATTGAAACTGGTTGGTGATTCAATTCCTATAGTTAATCATGGCTTGTTCTGTCACATTAGTTCTATTTGGGTGGAATTCAAAAGGTTCGGCCAATCAAGCTTGGTCCGGATAGTTAGCGAATTACATCTCAGACTCAAGAATAGTTCCCATCGCGGAATCTTGTTTAGTTTGTTCTTGGCCTCTAATTCAATTAGATGTCAAAAATGTCTTTCTAAATGGTGACTTACACGAGGTGTATATGGTTCCCCTTATGGGATATCACCCTCCTTCTCATTCCTGATGTCTTTATTGCTCTCTGTATGGCCTCCTCAAGCAGTCTCCTCCAGCTTGGTCTAATCACTTTGGCACTACTATGCTCCAGTTTGATTTCCAACAAAGTGCAACTCATCAAACTTTGTTGTTATGTCATTCGGGCGGTAAGACAGTTGCTCTTCTTGTGTATGTGGGTGTACTGTTCTTACCGGAGATGACATTACCAAGATTGCTAAGGTTAAGAGCTACCTTTGCCTCCAATTTGAAATTAAAGATATTGGTCCCCTTCAATACTTCTTGGGCATTAAGGTGGCTCACTCCAAGGCTAGCATTTTGATCACTGAGTGAAATATGCTTTTGACTTGCTTTCTGCTTTTAGCTAGCTTGGCGCTTGTCTAGCTAATACCACGATTGGCCAGAATCATCGGTTGGCTGATGTAAGGGGGAGTTATTATTAAATGTTGGACGGTTTTAACGACTTGTTGGGAAACTCATCTATCTATCCATGACCTCAAGCTGACATTGTGCTTATGTCAGAAGTGTCATGAGTCAATTCATGCACTCTCCTCGCACCCGGTACCTTGATGCAGTTATCGGATCCTTCACTAGCTGAAGGGGTGTCCGAGCTGTGGTATTTTGATTGCCAATTATGGATTGAAACCCAAACAATGTTGATTATGCATGATCAATTTCAGACAAGAGGTCAACTTATGGTTATTGTACTATTGTTGGTGGCAACTTGGTTACCTGGCGCAGTAATAAGCAAGATGTTGTCTCTCAATCGAGTGCAAAGGCAAAGTATAAGGCTATGGCTCTTGAAGTGTATGAGTTGCAATGGCTAAAAACGTAGATGAAAGAAGTGTCACTTTCATTTTCACTTTCCTATAACAAGAAGTCTGCCATTAGGACTGCAACAAATTATGTTCAGCATGACAAGACCAAGGATATAGAGGTTAACCAACACTTCATTCGAGAGAAGATCATTTCCAGTCAGATTTGCACTCCATTTGTCACTACCTCTCAGCAGCTTGCAAACATTCTTACTAAGCATCATCAAGACCGTGTTTGAGGATGCATTGTACAAGTTGGGAGTCTCAGATATCCACACACCAACTTGAAGGGGAGTATTAGCCAAGATATAATACCCTAGAATCATGGAATTTGACTTTATTTAAGCATATATTTAGGCATAGAATCTGCAGTGATGTTATTTAGTTTCCTTTCTTGTAATATTAACGAGGTAAGTGCAAAAAACACCCCTGAAATATACTTTTCATAGTACTTTTACCCCCTATTTAAAAAGGTGTGCAAAAAACACCCCTATTCTTTTCACATTGTGCGAAAACACCCCTCAATCAAAAATTTGATATAAATTAGTACTATAATGCCAATTTTACCCTTTTACTCTTCCAAAAATGCCCATACCAAACTTTGAACCGATTCAATCTCAAACTAGTTTAGGATAAGGAAATACCTGTAACCAAACGTCCTTTTTCTCCTTACACCTTTCTTCACAGAAGGCTACTGTAATGGTCCATTAACAATTTTCGACGAGCAACGCCGCCAAGCATGATGGCGATCAATAGCTACAAGGAAGATGGTGGAACGACAACGGCGAGTTCTGGGGCCGCCGAAGGTACCGGCGGCAGCGACAGTTCTGGCGCAGTCGGTGGCTAGTTCGTGGCGTACAGCATGGCGGCGTAGTTCCCGGAGGCGGTGGCACGGGTGATGATAGGATACCCCATATTTTCTCTCTTTCTATAAACCACAAGCTCTATTTTTCACAGACATACATACGGATACGGTCATGTATATATATACATATATGGGGAAGAAGATGAATTTGGGGAAGAAAATGAATTTGGGGAAGAAGATGGATTAAGGTCGCAAAGATGGGGATGATCTCACCGTCCAATAGAGTCGCAAAGATGATTGACGCCGGTGAGCTATGAATTTATCGGTGAGGAAATGGGTCTAACGCGTCGTCAAAATTCGTGTCACAACCATTCTCTATCTTCATCCTCCACACCACCACCGCAACTTTCACCACAACAGCCACTATTTGTCTCTCTATTTGCCACCACCATAGCCACCAACCCCATATTTTCTCTTTCTACAAACCACAAGTCCTAATTTTCACATACATACATACGGTCATGTATATATATACATAAATGGAGGCGGCAGCCAAGAGCAACGAAGAGGATGATTGCAGATCGCAGTGAAGTAATCGCTACCGTTGCGATACGCCACCGAAGGTACTGGCGGCGACAGCAACAGTTCTAGCGCACTTTTGAAAGTGTGGTGGACTCACTTTTGAATCCGCAGATCTTTGGCGCAACCCAATAGTGTTCTCAAGACCTTTCACAAAACTCAAACATTGATATTACGCGACCCCAACAGTTCACTGATCAAGCAGCGTTCAACAATGCCAATACCCTATATCTATTTCAGTCTCCTTTTCATCATAAGAAAAAGGAGAAATTGATGATTTGGTTCAACACTTCATCATCCATGGTTGTCAAATCCGGTCCGAACCGAAAGTGCTCCGTACGTAGATGATGGTGAAGCTTCGCCGGTGGGTCTTGATGTGCCGGTTCGGCAATTTTTTTTTTCCTCATTGTATTGGAGTTGAAGAAGATGGGTTGTGGGTACTTTTTAGTCATTTTACATCATATAATTTTTTTTTTATATTTTATAAAATGTGTCACTAAGGACAATTTAGTCCAATTTTATCCTAAATGTGTAAGGAGGACCTATTTGCACAAATGTCATAGTTTAGGGGTGTTTTTTGCACGAGAGGGGTGCAATATGCACTGTATGCATACTTCAGGGGTGTTTACTGCACTTGACCCTTGTGCTCTTTTAGTATATAAATACCAGAGCTATGAATGAGTAATTATGCTCATTCAAGCCTATAGTTATTTCTCTTGTATTTCTTCTGTTTGACATAACTATCTATAGTTTTACTTGGTCTAAACTAAACTACAAGATTTTGATACAATTTAAGTCACAAGTCATAGAACATTCAATTCAAAAACAAAATTCTTAATTTCCCAAATAGACCATTTAGAGCATGGATTCAATAATTAGGTTAAACTCAATATGGATCATAAAATTGCCGGCACATGGATCCTACATGTTATCAGTTGGGTGTCAAGGTGTAATAATATGCCATGGAGATGGAGAATATTTGGTAACATATACATTCATGTGAGAGAAAATCATGTCATCCATTAACTCAAACAAATAATCACATTACTAATTGCCATCTTCAAAGATAAACCTTTAAGTTATCTCTTACAAAGAAACAAATTCTAACTAAAACTACAAAGGAGCATTTAATCACAAATGGAGGGAAAACAATATATATATATATATATATATGCAGAAGCTTTAGCCTACCATCAAATGAGGCAAAGGAACTTTAACTTTTGAAAGCATGATCTCACAATTATATGCCCTCCTAAGCTCGATCTGCAAGAAACATTATATATTTCATGAGGCAACAAACACAATAGATATTTTGCAAAAGATGATAATTTTATAACAAAAAACAACCATCACCACCATCACCAAGCCTTTTTCCCAATTACTTGGACTCGGCTACATGAATCCTTCGTTTCCATTCCGCTCTATTGAAGGCCATAGCCTCGGTCAATTCACATGCTATCATGTCTTTATTTACTAACCCAGTCTATCTAAGAGTGTTCGGCTTACCCTTATGAAGAGTACTCTTTTGAATCTCCCTATGCATAATTTATCTTTATTTCAAATACCCTCATCCGTGGTGAAAACGACTGAGAAGTTGTAGAAGAATATTTTGTGCGTGGGGGGGAAGGGGGTGGAATGGGATATGAGTTAAAAGTATCATTTAATTACCTGGACCAAGATGTGCAAGCCCATGCATGTGGTGCTGATTGGGGGGGGGAAGGGGGGAATCTTAAGTGGTTTAACTAGGCCTTGTTGAGAAAATAATTGCAGAGATATGGTTTAGAAAGGAATCAATTGTGGAGTAGGATCATTGAGTGCAAGATTGGGGAGTTGTAGGGTGGTTGGTGTTCTGGGGAAGTTCATGGCTCGGCCGTTGTGGGTGTGTGGAATCCATAAGAAAGGGTTGGGATGAATTACCTAACACATACGATTCAAGATGCATAGTGGGAGGCGGATCAGATTATGGTTGGATGCTAGAACTCTTGCACGTGTATTCCCTAGATTGTTCAGGGTGGCGATTGACAAAAATAGCATGGTGACCAACTGTTATCGTCATGTTAACAGAGCGGTGACATGGGATTTTCAGTTTGCCAGGCCGGTTCAGGATTGGGAATTGGAAGAGGTTATAACTTTAATTGATTTGATCTATCGACAGCCAGTGAACATTGAGGCCAATGATATGTAGTGCTGGAGAGGAGCCAGGCAGGATGGATTTGCAGTCAATTTGTTTTTCAGGCACTCCAAGGAGATTCAGAGATCGCATATGCATGGAAAGCAGTGTGGAAAATTCTGACCATGGACAACTTGAAGAAGCGGCCTAAGATAGCAGTCAATTGGTGTTGGCCATGTGGTATGTGCAAGGGAGCTAAGGAAGCAATGACTCGCCTCTTATTGCATCGCCTAGTAGCAAAAGATGTTTGGGATGTAGATTGACTAGAGAGCAATTGGAAAGGAGGCCAATTTTTTTATTGCACATTTTTTGGAAATAATTCCATTACATGAAAGAGCAAGAAGCAGAATGTACAAACAAGATCAAGTATAGATCTATGTTGCATCCATCATGTGAGATGCTTTAGGTTGAGTGCTATTTGAAAGAGATGCAATTGTTTGTCATATAGCTATGAATGTGACCAAACATACCAAGATGGATGGCCACATTAAGCATGGAGATTCCAACCTATCGCCATCAGCCCAAACATGGTATGAGGTGTTGACTTTAAGAGATAATCAAATCAAGAGTAAAGTATGAGAACAAGAAAAAGAGAAGAAATAGGATGAGAGAAAAAGAGAGAGCGATGGGGAAAGAGAGAAAGAATGAAAGAATACTTTCATCCTTCCACCACATTCTATTTATACTAAAAAGTTTCAGAAATTACACATAAGCGCCCAACGTTATATAAGTAAAAACAGATAAGCCCCTAACAACATGACGTACGTAAGTTGAAGGTTCTATGAGATTGACAAAGAAAGCTCTAATGAAGCACAAGAACGGAATAGACAATCAGATCAAACAAAATAAATGAAAGTGACAATATACTACACTTTTGAAAATTAAATATTACATACCAGCTGGACTTTATCTGATTTAGGTCCTGAGGCACGCCGATTTGATTTCCCACCTGTGCTTCCATGATCTGAATTTGGAACAGTTGCTGAGAAAAGACTCTCAAGTTCAGACATGTCAAACTCAGGAGCCCTGGCACAGACAAAACAGAAAGAGAACAATACAAGAAAATTTGAATGAGCAGACAATAATTGGCCAGAAGAGGGTAGGGCAGGGGAGATGCCAAGAAAAAATTGCAATTACTTGGAAGCTTCATCAGATTTTTGTGCCTCAGCCCATAGGCTTCCCTGCATGGCCCTTGTTAACTTCAACCAGTGGTACGGTTTTAGGTTACTCTTCTTTGATTGAGTCTGATTCCTGGAACTTGAACGTGATTGCAACCTAATCTTCGCACTGGAAGGTGGTCCAGGAATTGGAGGTATATTTCCGTTACTGCCTGCAGAATGAGATTGTGGAGGCCCACCACCAGATTTTGATAACCCATTGGCAAATGAAGCAGGCGGAGGTGGTACAGGTGGGACATGCGGAGAATTCTTAGACATAGGATCCTTTGGAGCACCATTGAGAGGAGGAGGTGGTGGTGGTGGCACTGAAGATGCAGTAGGGCTGGAGTATGCCCCAGAACGTAGAGGAGGTGGAGGTGGAGGAGGAGGGCCAGCCACAACTGCAGAGATTTTTTTAGGCAGCAGTGAAGAACAGGTAGCTGACGAGGAAACCCCAAAGGGTGTAGGTGGAGGAGGAGGGGGAGGAGGAGATGACTTCTTAATAGTGGGTGATTGAGCCACCCCCGAGGAAGAAGGGGATTGAGGAAGAGGAGGAGGAGGAGGAGGAGGGGGAGTTGAAAATGAGTTTATGGGTGAGGAAGACGGTGCTTCTCCTGCAAAAGAAGGTGGTGGAGGAGGAGGAGGGGGAGGGGAACCTGGAAATGAATTCTTGACAAAGGGAGATGGAGATACCCCAGATACAATAGAGGGTGGGGGGAGAGGAGGAGGAACTACAAATGACTTTCCACTACTACCCTGAAGTGAGGTTTCAGAGTGTTGGGTAGATAAGGAATGAGGTTCTGAAGTTGATCGATGAAGAGCGGCTGATGGTGGAGGTGGAGGAGGACGAGCGATTGCAGAAGTTTTCATTGTGGTAGTACGAACCTCCTCAGAAAGTTGCAATGAGGGAGGTGGTCGTGGTGGTGGTGAAATCAAAGCAAATCCGGGCTGCAAAGGTTTAGATACACGTGGAAGAGGAACTGAAGCAGCAAGAGGTGGAGATACCGTCACTGGATGAGTGATTTCTTTAATTTTAGATTCTGTACTATCATGCAATAAAGCTGTAATGCCAAGGGCCGACGGTGCACTGTGATATCTTGAGATATGAACAGGGGAACCTTGCAGTGAATTACCAAGTGAAGCAGGAGTGGATAGAGGAGTCTGAGGTATTCGCTGGGAAATAATCTTAGATTGAGCAGGCCGTTGAACAGAAACCTGCAGTTCTTGGGGCTCAATCTTCTTCATCATCGAGTTCACACCAAGAGATGATTTCGTAGAGTGTATAGATTGTTCACCGGAAGGCGCGTACGGGGAACTACTTTCTGATGTCTCGAATTTTGTTTTCCCCATAACCTTTTCAGGAGTTGGTTCCTGTAGCACACTGCCTCTCTTAGCACTGTTGGGAGAGCCAGTTTCCAATTTTTCTTGGAGAATATTGATTTTGTGGAGCACATTTAGTGCTACATCCGACTTTGGATCCAGCCAATCCACATTGCTGAAAATCTCTTGAACTTTAGAAAATGCTTCAATAGGAAGACCTTCTTTCTCCTCAAAACCAGGCAAATCAATTGTAATAAGTGAAGATACAGCATCCATTTCTGAAAAAAGAATCTTAATACAGGAAATATATATATACATATCAGAAACTCGCCACCCAGGAAAACAGAAATGGTGCAGCATTAAAACATCATCAAGAAGAGGGGAAAAGATTAATACCTCTGTTCTGAAGTCCTTGGGAAATTGATCTCTAGCATCCCATAAGATATCGATTTCATCACGATTAAGCATTAAAATATTTGATCTAATAAAGGCTGTGTTGAACATGACTCGAAACATCATCTCCTCGCGTTCTAGATCATTATCCAAGCTAATACACTCGAGCACAACATCACCTTGTATATGGCAATGTATGTCAATTTTAACTAGTTCACAATCTGCCTGCAAGCAAAATATGAAAATGTCCAAAAGAGAATAAAAATTATAAAAAATAAATAAATAAATAAAATCATGCACTAAGCTTGACAAAAGAAGATAAATGAATGAAGTAGAGAATGGAAGCAAAAAAAAAACTCTAAAATAATTCCTCGAACCCTTTAGGTTCTCAATAATTATAAAGAACGTCTTACCACAGGCAATGCTTGTCATATACAAAATAGCTCTTCTATGTATGGTTGTGGTCATAAATGTCAGTTGATCTTAACTTTTGAATTTGGCAAATGACAAATCCAGATAGACTACATTTCAATAAAACTGAAAGAAATTGAAAAAGTACCAGTATGCACACAAGGCCTTTACAATCCGACATACCCAGAACCAGATACAAAGTTGACAGGCATGACCAACAAATAAAGAAATTAGCATATTCCCAATTCACTACAACTTCCTGACAAAAGTTTTTCATATTGTGTTCCTTCCTAAAATTGTTAAATCAAAATGGCCGTAGTAGTGCTGTACTACCATGTTTCATACTAAACGTTACATATACACATCACTTCACCTAAGTTATAGATCAAGAAAAAACAACTTTCAATCACGTCCCATGTATGGATATTTTAGGACAAGACAAACCCGACAATTACACAGTCATGCATCCAACACACATGCCCATGTTCGTTTCACATAGTATGTCCCCAAGCTAAGCTCCAAATTCCTGTGCCAGTTTCACAATCAGATTTGGATTCACTCATTATCAAGACCATTACCGCTAAGTTTAATTGGACCCTACATAGCAATCTATATCGCAACTGGAGACTGCAAATTCCCTAAAACAGAACTCACCAATGTTATGATCTTATTCCAGTATGCTATGTAAACTTCTTTTCTGACAGTTAGATCACAGTGACTGTCTTGGGAGAAATTTATTTATTTAATCATCTTATCAGGCAAACATTTTCCAACAAGCAAATTATGAATGGGCCCAAATTGTATAAGGGTATTAATAACTTTCATGCCTTTCTTCAAAAAGGAAATCATAATTATTTTAATTTCAGTGTTGTATGAACAAATTTGAAACCATGATTATACATTAGAGACATAATATGTCAGTCACTTGTTTGTGCACAAAGCCCTTCGTAGTTTTCCGCATGTAAGCTTCTTTTTCTCTTCCCTCATGAACTTCAAATGGTCCATCCCAATTGGGTGACAATTTTCCAAGGGGGGGAGTTGGAGGGGGCCAGATCACCAAGACTGAAGGATCAAGCCTTGACATGCTTGTTGTAGGATTGAGCAAATCTTTTATTCTGAGCCTGCAAATGATCCAGAGCTCTCAATCGCTCTTCGTCCACATCATCTAACGTTGTGTGAAGTGACTTAGAGCCCTATACTTTTGTTTTGGGGCCTTTCTAGATTCAATAAGGACGTATATATCACTCTCCACAAGTGCAGTAGATGAACTTTTTCAGAAATGGCATGAACGACAATAGGATTCAAAAGATTTCAGAGTTTATAGACATACATGGCATCAATAAGTCACATCATAATTCAAAAAAAGTTCTTTTTGGTAAGCAGTGAGCAAAAGGAAAGGCATACAATTAACAGAGGAAATTCTTGTACACATACACAACTGTACAGGAGTGTCAATCAAAAATCTTATTAAATCATAACTACTTCAAGATTGTCACAGGATGAAGCAAGAGCATCTTATTTAACTGAACTGAGACAAAACTTATGAAATTGGCATAAGAAAATGTCCTTGTAATCCACCAAGAACAAATATAAAACATAGAAAAGTAAATCATGCAAACAAGAGCAAAGAGAATGAGAACCACCTGCTTGTAATGCCGAACAGTTTTGCTCCTCTTCAGTGTCGAGAACAGCACTTTAGGAGTCCGATCAGCGGCCATAAAAGGATCCTGTCCATAGATTCTAAATATTGGGCGGCAACCCCCCTCCCCATCCATGTTAGGAAGGATTCTAAGAATGATGCAATCCAATGTAAGTGCCCTATCCAGTGGTGGCCATTCTGTACCCACATGCCTTCTTGAGACATACTGTAGGTACCTCAATTGTGATGGTAATGGATTCAGTGGCGACATCAATTGCACAAGTTCCTGAGGTGCTTGCTTGTAAATCATGTCCAACGTTTTTTGCTCCCCGGTATATTGTTTCCTATAAATCAAGAGGGCAGCTAGCATGAAGGCCAAAACTGGCCACCCACCACGCTCACAATGCATTAAAAGCACATTACGCTGCCCAAGTGAAAGCCAACTTTCACTTGATCTTAGAAAATGGTGGATCATCTCCATTGTGAGTAATGGACAGCCTTCATAGTGTCGAGGATAGTCCATTACAGTCATATCATACTCAGACAATATGTTATCAATCTGGCTCTGATTCCCTCCCTCTCGGAAGTTAAACACCATAAATGAAGCATCGGCAAAGTATTCGCGGAGTTGTTGCACTATTCCTCCAATGTATACTTTGTATTCATCCTCTTCCAAAACATCCGTAGTAAAGCAGCAATCAAAGACTATACATTTACAGCAGCCATAGCAACCATATGAGTTAAAAATCATTTTCAAACACTTTCATAGGGCCCAAAATGCAATATATATAATGCATGCCGCTAATCCCTTTCTTCATGCAAGCGAATATATGCACCACAACTCATGTGTAATCATAATCAAACTACATGGAGATTACATTTATACAAATATGTAAATGCATGCATAACGATTGTCCACGTAAAAATTAATATGCATGCACACTTTCCATATGTAATTGAATGTGCAAAAATGCATGCATACAAGCAGAGAGAATAGAGATTAAAAAATGAGGTAAAGGAAGAGTTTTATGTTAAACATATTTTCTCGATCAAAGAAAATATACTACTTACAGTTCAGTTACTTATGTTCTAATACAAACAAATATTAAAAACTAAATATACAAGTTTTTTTAACTCGATGAGATTTGTAAATCGATAAAATAAAATTAGCAAGATTAAACCAAAGGTAGTAATAGATAGAATTTTCAAGGGGAGCATGAGACATCAACGTGGCCTATGTACAAATTTCGACTCAGTTTCAATCACTTAAATTACTAGCTCCACTAAAGCAAATTCCACCTCGAGAAGTACACAATCCCATTCTTTGTACTTCCAAAGCATAATGTAGAGTTCATAAAGAAGAAGCAAGTCTCTCAATCTATAACATGTTAGCTACACATTAGAAAATCTTAATTGGAATTCTAGGCATAATTACACGAATTGCACGAGAAATCCCACAATAGTAACTACTCTTATAAATTCATGGCCTACACTGATACTCAATACATGTTAAATTTGGAAAACAATTAATGAACACCCATGAATCTTCAAACTACAAGAACCAAAATTCATCCAAATTGAATTACAAATAAATAAATTTAAAAATAAATAAATAAATAAACATACCAAATACCCTTTCAGAGATCTCCAGAAGCCCATCAGGAGGTTTCCGATAGAAAAATTTACGGAATATCCCCATTTTCGCCGACATCCAAAAGAGTCACCAGCAGCAAACCCTAAAATTGAACCCACATTGCACCCAAACTCATGCCCGTTTCAGCTCAAATGCACAAGTCATAAAATTTTCAATACAGAAATACGTATATAAACGCAAATGTATATAACGTGTCATCATTACAGAATTGAAGAGAGTGTGGATTCGGGAACCAGGTATGGATTTTGCTGGACCGCGAAGGAACACTTTTTTCTTGAATACGTCTTCACATTCACACTTGAATCAGAAACTTGGCTTTGTATGGGAGAAACCAGGAGAGACACGCACATGGAGAGAGAGGGAATGTGGGTCTTAGAGAGAGAAATGTTGTACTGTTTTAGAGAGAGAAAGACATGGATTGTTCTAGTTAATGGATAGGATCTGAGTTTTGTCTGTGTCTCTATCTGTTTGTTTAATACGTTTGTATGTATTTGGGCGATAACTGGATCACACACAATGACAATGATGTCCGATGTTCCTTTTAATAATTCTCACCAGTCTCTTTCGCACCTTCTCTCTCTCTAGATCAGATTGCTACTTGCTTTGGCACGTGTGTTCCCAAAAGGCAAAAGCGACACGAATCAAATGTATTTACCCGATCAAATCGAGGATAGTTTGGTCATATGCAACGCTAAGTCGAGACATTAATTCTGTGTTACAAAAAGAATAACATTTGCCATGTTCCAGCCAATCACAACTCCTATATAAATTTTACTGTACAATTATAGTTGATGGGAATTATGTAATCTTGGACCAAATAAAAAAAATTGGGAATATATATGTTGAAGTTAAAGTATTAATTTGACATACTTATTTAGATTTTAAGTGTAAAGTTTCTTTACCGAAATATTATCCAATTTCAAATAAAAATGCATTATCCAATTTATTGCATTATCAAACTCATTTATTTAGAAAGTAAAATAACTCTAGGATGAAATAAACTCAAGGCTTATTTGTTACGCGTTTTGTTTGTGCGTTTTCATTTTAATTCGAAACAAAACAAGTTTTTGTTTTGGTGTTTTGAATAATAATTGAATGTATGTTTGGAAATGTTTATTTTTTGCAAATTTTTTGGAAACAAAAATATAAAGCATGTTTGGTAAAAAAAATGTTGCAAATTAAAAAATAATAATAATAATGCCTAGTTTTAAAAGGTCATATTATTATTATTATTTTTTTTCCACTCTTCATTGCTATAGTGCAAAAACATGTAAAAACACCAAATTAGTATTTCGACTTTTACTCGCTACATAAAACGAATGTTTTGGCACTATACAAAACAAAATATTTTTTACTAAATGCGTTATTTTTCATTGTTCACTCCTATAGTGTCTAACAAAAATAAAAACACCAAAAACAAAAACAAAACACATACCAAATATACCCTTAAAGATGGAAAAATAGTTCTTATGAATATTGTCGCGCCTAGGAACTCGTCGGCGTAGGTAATTGTGATCACAGCAGGGGCCTGCCGAGAGGGGTCTTGGCTAGTTTTTGTGATGTTCTCTAACCTGAACGTAACAGGAGTGGAAGACGTGATATAATGAGTACCAATATGTTCAGAGTCACCACATAACATTGAGTTTTGATATGTTAAAACATTTAATGTGGAATGGAATGGAATCTGAACCCAAATATGACTTCTACTAGTCAACATGAACTAAATCAATGGATTTAGATGTTTTTATTAGAGAAGATGTTATGCACCCAAGACACCCATAGAAAGTACGGTTACTTACTTTACTTTCGTGTTGCTTGTGAATGTGACTTTAGCAAAATGGTTGGACCAATTCAATCAATGAAAGGGTCTGAGTTCTGAGTAAGTATGCCTTGAAGGCAAGGGTATGCAAGACATGAAAAATGTGAGTGTGGGGTGACCGAATTCGAGATATACCTAAGTTGTTTATGTAACTCAATCATTATTAATGCTATGGTGAGAATAAAGCCAAACTTGGTTCATTTTAATGAATTAGACTAAGGAAGAGAGGATGTGATGGAGTATGTGTAAAAATATGAGATGAAAGATGTGGGTGGTGGGACTGAACCTAAAGATGATTCACAGTGCCTGTGTATCTTGGCAATAAAGTGTGTAAAAATCAAGTCAAACGTAATTCAGATTAATGAAGTTGAAATGAGGGACTTGAAAGACATACGAGCATAAAGGATAAAATATGTATCAAATAGTGGTAATAAATAACATATGAGTCTAACTAATGAGATATGTGAGAGAGAATGACCTTATTCAAGGTGTTTTTGAGAGAGAGAGAGTTTTCAAAGTCCATTTTGCCCCTATGTAGGCCCAAATCTGACTTACCATTTTGTTATTAACTGTTCCTCTACCCTTAATATTTTTGGACCTTTTTTTATCACAATGATGGTGCCAGATTTCTTATTTGATGGTCAACTCTTTCTAAAATGACCATTTTGTCCTGGTACTAGTAAAAATGGGCTCAGAATAAGGAGTAAACCAGAAGTTGTTTCTACTCAATGGTTAATAAGGCAATCCGAGTATGTGTTAATGTCAGATTTTTTATCTGATGGATGAATTTTGCTGAACTGCAAAATTACATTTTTGTTCTCAACTTAGGGCTTAATGATCAGGTGCCTAGGGTCATTTTTGTGATTGTAATTTTAGCTGAATCTTAAGGTTTTGGGATATTTCAAACATCATGGTGGGGTAGGATCTTCAATTTAATGGTTAGATTTTCCTAGGTGGTACTTGGATGTGTCAGTCTCTTGCTGATTTAACCTGAAAAATAAGAAAAGACAAAATGGGGTGTCTATAAATTTTTTATTTTTTTTGTTTAAAATAACTTTAAAAAAAATATATTTCAATCCAAATTCCACTTAAATACTTTGTGATGATCAACTTTTCAAATTAATTACTTTTTATTTTAAAGCAATCAACTTACATGTGAACATTAATAGAAACAAAGTAAAGTACTGAGATAATAAGATACAAAATTTTCTCATATAATGCTCTTAGAAAGGGAAAAACCATGGGACCTAGTCTAGACAGATATAATATACTATCATGAAAGAGATTACAAATAGGTTAATAGTTCGCTCACCCTCAAATCCCTAATTATTGACTAGAAATGAATATGCCTCTATGGTGATTGGTACCTCATTACTGCTCTTGTTTGTCTTGTTGAATAAAAATTGTCTGAAAAAATCAACTTGTTAAATATTTAATCACATGTGGATGTTTTTATGAACTAACTGAGATTATGGCCTTAAATAAATCAAAACAATAATATAGGATTAATGTAACCGACTCCAAGTAGCTGAAAAAAAGGCTTAATCGTTTTTGTTGTTTGATGATTTTTTGAACCATATATTGAATACATGAGGAATCTATCTCGCATTTAATTTATCTATTTAAAATAACTTATTATCTTGTTCTCTTACCCAATAATGGCCAACACCTAATATTTTATAGCCAATAGATGAGCCCTGTACATTTTAGATAGTTGAAACATCTAAAATTGTGTTTTGAAATAAATTTCAAAAAACAGGTTTGACAAATTTGGTCGAAGTCTACTAGAACCTATTTAATCAATCAACCACTCTATTGATGCATTATGGTGTTAAAAATGATTTTACTTGAAAAAAATTTATCGAGTCATAATTCGATCAACGTTCACATAATTAAAAAAAAAAAAAAAACAAATTGGCTAAATATTTGATTGATCACATACGTTGACCGATGTCTTCTGGAAACTATTCGATCCATCGAAGAAGTGATCAACATGTACTGTTTTTCAGTTTTTATTTAGTCTTGAAGAACGTCTAAAAATTGAATTTTGAAAAGATACTCTTCAAACACTTTTTTCAAAATAGTTTACGAGCCCAACCAAGATCAAAATTTGTTTAATTAAGGTAATATTAACGCCAAGCTACTTATAACCTAAACGTATAATTGAGTATGTGAATGTTCAGCTATGATCTTTGCAATTCTACATAAGTCATGCCCCAAAAGATTTTTAGAAATGACTCAACACATTTTGACACATTAAGACACATGTTTTAGGTAGTAATATGTCAACACATAACTTGTAACGACTCGAACCCAATGGTCCGAATCGCTAACCGTGTCCTTACCCGAACCCGAGGTCAACTAAGAGCACTACCGTCCTTTCTTATATCGATACATAATACACGTGTCATCCTAGGCTTTATAATTAACAATAATCATAAAATGATAATCATAATAATAATAAAATGAGATCATAGTTACAAAATATGTCAAACAGTCCACTAACCCATCAAAACCCGTGGAGGAACGTTATAACACCCCCAACATTTTCCACGCATAAGTTGATCAGGCTTATACACGAAAAACGAGGGATATCAAAAACAATTGGCAATATACAAGCATGGAATACAAAATGATGATAATAAAAGAATTTAGACAGGAAAGGAACACTAAATAATACAACATCCATCCATCCTTTATTTAAATACAGTACTCCATTACAACTTGGAAATCCTATATCAAGGATCCCTAAATATAAACCTAAGAGTTCAACGTCAAAAGTAAATAAAAACTGAAACTGAAGTAATACATAAAACTTCTACCCTAAACTGGATCGTAAGAGTAGATGAGTTCGGATGGTGGTCCCACACTGCTAACCTCAACCTTGGAACGGGTTTTGACCGTATCCTGAAATAACAACAATGGTGGGTCAACCCCACGAGCAAGTCCTCTCTACTATGACCCAAATCAGAGAATCAAATAAATTAATCATTATGAATCGGATGAGTACTATATCTGTATACATCCTAAGGGAACTATCCAATGTATAACATGACCTCAACCAGAATAGACGGTGATCACTTAGACTCACACTAGGTGGTTAAGTGTCGTCTTTCCCTACCCGGGAAATCAGCTATTATACATGGTGCACGGTACTGACAACACAGACTATAACGAACTACACAGTGATAACACCTCTCAAAGTACTGATGAATATACTGAGCATATAAATTAGGCAACACATGCCAATAATATTACTAAACATACTGAGCATGTCAATTAGGTAACACATGCCAATAATATTAAACCACATACCCCGACAGCCACACATTTGTCTATAGCAACGAATACATAAGGTATAAATGAGTCTAAACTTATTAGCCAGCTCACATGGTTCTATATGGCAACACATCCATATAATATAAATGTGACATAATTAAACAGTCCATTTATTTCCTGAAATGCACACAGCATAATAATTATGGTTTATATATCATTTAACAGTATAAACATCCCATAAGATATCATGGATAATTTATATGACTAAAACCATGGCATTATTTAATTTAACAGTAATGTTTGATATCATTTACTAAGATAATAACACTATTTATATTTAACAATGTCATTAAATAAATCACATTAATATCCGTACTGTAAACGAG